ATTACTTCCCCTTATTATAACGCGTAAGAAGTAATAAAATGGACATTAAAATGTACGAGCTGATTGATTTATTACAAAAAAAAATCATAAATGCATATAGATGCAGCGTGTGCTCCTTTTCTAATGGACGATTCCATTCTATCCTACGAAATTGTTAACGATTATCAACTACATGTTTATAGGATTTCCCAAGAGAGAGGCCTAAAATAATAAAGCCAGAAGATGAAATTGGACGAGCTGACGGCACGAAAATATCTTCCTCGCCTACGCCTAAATTCACATCAAAAATCGATCAAGATCCGGAATATAAGTCGAAATACTTGGATTATCAAAGAGACTACCCAGTATATCGAAAACCACCGTTGAATTTGAGATCAACGTACGCTACTCCGGAGCATACGCGTTTTGGTAGGCAAGAATGCAAACGGTATGACCACGAGTTCACAAGCGAAGTGCGAGCGCAATATATTCCTTATGGTCACATACCAAGAGTTGAAACGTTAAAGATGCCAGCCAATTTACGTTTAGAGGGTAATCTTAATCTAGAGCCGGAATATAGAACTGCTTACTGTACAAAACGTGAGAGTCAGTTACAAGACGAACCAAGAACGCATTGTCGACGAGATCGTAGTCTGAGCGCTTCCAAACGAAAAGAGAATTATTGGATTAATAACGCGGAGCAATTTGGCTTCACAAATGCTGCCCAAGATCAAGACGCATTTCAAGTATTGAATACTCGAGTTCACGAAGATAATGTCTGTGGGAAACCACCAACAGGTAGTCGAAGGTCTGTATTTCAAAGTTCTGTTAGATTTCAGTGTAGATACTTCTATATTTTGTTTATGATGAACATGTTTTACACACAGTTTGAATATAAGAAATATAAAAAAATTGCCCGACTTGAAGGTAATTTAATAAATTCTATATTACATTTTTTTATATCTAATAAGATTAGTAGAATTCAATATATATAAAAAATTTTGGTGTATGATGTTAGGCTTGAATTGTTTATTTAATACACACATTTGATAAATGAAATAAAAACAAATACAATTTTTTTACTAATTGTATGATATCAAGCTATTGTACTTGATGTCATGATATAAATTGTTTCAATGCTCTTTAAAACAATTGCAACCAAATTCTAAATAAACAATTTTTTTGTATTTATAATATCTCAGGAAATAATTACACATATACACTTTATTCGGGTATATCTTAACGAGCAATAAAAATAAATATAATTGCAATACAGGAGTTCAAAATCTTCGCATATGCAAAGGCAAACACAGGTAGATATGTCAGAATATAACAAAGTAAAGAATAGATCGACTAGCCCAACTTACCGACTTCATGTCTGTAACGTCGATGATGAACCAAGAGGTTTCCGAAGCAGACGTTCGCCATCGCTTCAGTCTTCCGGAAGGACGCGCAATCCTTCACCAGATTATGTACTTCAAAATAATGCTGTCAGGCCATATTCTCCTAGTTTTGGTAAAAGCACCAAGCAACAACATTCTAATGGCCAGTCGTTTGTTATTTTGGACAATGGGATCTTTGACACAAATAAAAATGAAATTCGCAGAAAGCAAACGGACAGAAATTACAATATTGATGGTACTCCTCCTATTTTTAAAGGAAGAGCGAAAACTCCAGCAAATTGGATGCCACCGTGGTATGATAGTACAAATACTATCTAAACCAATAAATGCATACTAAATGTGCAAAAAGGGCTTTGTACTTTTTAATATTAATCTAGAACAATAAAGTTTCTGTATAAATATAGGTTGTATAATATATTTATTGATGTTTAATTTTTTTAAATCAACATATTTGTATTATAAAATTAATATAGCATTGTCATATATATTACGTAAATTAAATATACATTATTCTGCCAAATAATAAAATAATAATATATCGTTAAGTGATTGCATTAACATTTATATTTCATAAAAGATACTAAACATTATACTTAGAACTACTAAAAGATCCTTTTACAAAATTGTAGATATTAAAAAATTATTTTAGCTGTGATAAAAATAGTAATAGAAAAAGGTTCAAAAATGTAATATGCAACATTTTACATATTGGTCTTTGACACAAATAGTATTTATAAAATACTTAATAATAAAATTTTAAATGATAAGACTTTGTATCAATTAAATATATAAAATAATGAATAAAATATGCAGTCATAATATTAAAAATTTCAATGACTTTTATTTTATTTTGCATTTATTTTATATATAATTTTTATCCACTTTTATTCTTTCTTTATTAACACTTTTATTGATTCTTTTTAGATCTGTACTTTATTTATAAGTGATATTGATCCTTATTGTTTCTTATTATAACTTTGACATATGTTTAAAATATGCACTTAAGTGAGTAAATAATTTTTCATAAAAGTTTAACATTTAAATATATCTTTCCATGTACGTAGAAAAATCATACTAAAAGACAGCACATCAATATTATTTGTAAATAAAAATATAGATATGAAATTAAATGTTCAAGTGCACATGAAATAAAATGAGAAAGTTGAAATATAAACTTACAAAAGATATTTTAGCTCTCTACGAACAGATTAATCTTAGTCTTATTATTTTACCTTATTAATTTGATATAAATCTTTACATTATAAGAAATAAAAATTATTTAAGACATTGCATTAAGACATACATGTCTATAAAACATATTTATTAAATATTTATAAATTATTAATTAATCATATCCATAGATGAATAACTTCATAAATAAACAAATAGCATTTCATATTTTTCAACTGATCTTTATATTAACAGTTATAGATTCAAACCTAAATTATTGATCTATCTTCGATCTTATCGAATCGAGTTTTATCGATCTATCAGAAAACTAACAAATTTTCATTTAATCGTAGTAGGATCAATTGTAATTATTTTGAGGTTAACTTTGTAGTAAATTGATGACAACTATTTCTCATATTAACATCATCATCGTACGTAATTACACACTGTATTTTCTAAAAAAAAAATTATTTCTCAATAAATAGTTAAACTTAGTTACACTGAACGATTTCATTGTAAATCCAAATTTTAACTGAACATGCGTATACTGTTCGATTTGTGTATATACTCGACTATCTTCAAGCCTCTTGCAACATTTTACAACAGGAAGAACGTTTGTAAGAGTGTGCACACATCAAAGAAAATACCGAATTCCGATAAAATTTTTCAAATAGTCGATAATAAAGAAATTAACATTATAAAACATGTCAGATCCAGAACTTGAAGCAATACGGCAACAACGATTAGCTCAATTGCAGTCACAGTATAAGGTAAACCAGTTGTGCATTAGAAACAAAATATTTTATACCATTTATGTGTGGTATACCATTTATATATATATATATATATATATATATATATAT